ACCATTGAGAAGTAGTGACATTTTCCTATAGACTTCAGTACATATGTGGTGGCAAAGCCATGTGAATAAGGGAGTGGCTGAAAGTAGTTGTTTTTTTTAAACAATCTAAACTTCACTCCTATGTGTCAGGCTATGGAAATTTTATCCCAATGAAGCTCTAATAAAATTTGTTTTTCATTATCAAGATAGGGACTTGCAGTTGAAGCAGAGCCAAACCTCACTGCTTACAGCAGCCTTATACACACAAGACCTCACACTACCGTGTTTTTCAAATTTTCCGAATACTAAGGAAGGGAGCTTATATGCTTCCTTCATTGCCTCCTTTAGTATAGGATATACTGGGACAATCCAGTGATTGATCATCCGACAATTCTGAGCATCAAACTATAATAAAAAATGCTTCTTCCATGATGAACATTGTGCTGCAAGCTTTAGGATTATCCTGAATTTAATGTTTGTTTCCCGTCAGCTGGGACAGATGATGGATAGTGGAAAATTTGAAGCAGTCATGTAATCCTAAACAGGAAGGAGGATTTTTTCCCCTCAATAATAATCTTCAGTCTTCACAAATTTAACAAACTTTATGTAAACATATTTAAATATGCGATCCCAGCACAGTGGATTGTCAAGACTAAAACCAGTCATTAAGCAAAGACAATGATAACTTGTTTATTTAACATGTGTAACATCTGTAGTTTCCTACTGTGTAAGTGAAGTCTGCACACTGCGAGATACCACTTTCTGAAGTATATGCATTCAGTCTGGAATGCAGTCTGGAATGGAAAAATTTAATGTTGTCACACTCTTTCATTTACGGTCAGGTTGTCCAATGAAGCAGCTATAAACATAATTTTAAATGTGCAACTACTGCACAACCCTTAGCTGTCAATCCTTAGATGTTTTCCTTCAGGTGTTCCAGCGTCTTTAGAGCATATAGGCATGCAAGTTACCAGAACTCAGAGGTGGCAAAAGTACAGACTTTATTTACTGAAGTATTAGTACAGATACCTGGGTTTAAAATAAAAGTTGAAGTACTGAATCAACTTTTTTACTTAAGTAAAAGTGAAAAAGTACAGTTTCTGAAATGAACCCAGAGTAAGAAAGTAAAAAGTAGCTCCTTGAAGGACAATTCTAACAATTTCTATACAAAGATAACTGAACCTTGTGCCATATTAATATAATAATAAAATAATATTAGTACACAAGAATACAAAATTATTAAAATTTAAAATCTTATTCTAATGAATAAACTTTGAATCTGTTATGTAGGACACATGAAGTGAAAGAGAATTTTCTGTTGCCTTGTTGAGGGGGACTTTACCTCCACACCTGAACAGTAAAATGGGTAAAATCAAGGGTTACAGTGAGATTCACCAGGTCAGAAAACCTTAAGATCTGTGTAGTGATTCAGCAAAGGGAAAATAATCACAGCTCACAAGCTATAATAGCTGATATCTATTCCCTATACTGACACTACACCGTGTATGTCAGTGGTCCCCAACCCCCGGGCCTCGGACCGGTACCGGTCCGTGAGTCGTTTGGTACCGGGCCGCGAGAGTTGAGGCTCAGGTGTGAAATGTCTGGTTTTCAGGGTTTTTATCGGTTTTCAGCGTTATTTTGTTATCGTTTTTATCGTTTACTCGGTTTTCCTGGGTCTTTTCACGTGTGTTATGAATAAATCTTCTTTTTTTCGGTACCGGTACTGGTTTTATTTTGTTGTATTTATCCGCGACACCTTAAAGGCCGGTCTGTGAAAATATTGTCGGGCATAAACCGGTCCGTGGCGCAAAAAAGGTTGGAAACCGCTGGTGTATGTTATCTGCACACTAGAGAGAATACTGTTGGTATAAAGTTGCAGTTCAATGAATTGATCTAATCATCCTCAGCTTGATTGTGTCACGGTTCTGGGTCAGTGTTGACCCAGCATTTTGAGTTTCTTATATTTTGGTCTATTTAGACCAGTGTCGCATCGTACCCTCAGATTATGCCTGTGTGGTTTTGGTTTCTGACGTCACGTCACGTCACGTCTTCATGTCAGCAATAAAGCTGAGGTTTTGATTTACAATTCTGTGTTCGAGTCCTGCGTTTGGATCCTCCTCTCTGCCTGCCCGCACACAGAGCCCTGACAGAACGACGCGACCAGTAATGGATCCAGCGGACTCACGCTTCGCCTCTGAGGGAGAGAATCTCGCGCTCCTTTGGGATTACTGTTGGAGGGTAGTCCACGCTGTGAGCCCCTACAAGAGGCAGCTGGAGGTAGTATTTTTTGATAATTTTTTGTCGTCGACTGCCTGCACTGTCAGTTTTCTAAATATAAATGGACTCAAACAAATAATAACAGCTCTAAGAGCGAGGCTAAGTTTTGAACTGTTTGGCATGGGCGGCCCAGGGAAAGAGGATTCAGTTGTTCTCCTGGAGGCCCTTGCCACTTGGTACTCTCAACGACAGCAGCATTTTTTGCCAAGGTTTATCGCCAAATTGTTTGATCCATCCTTGAAGAAGAAATGCAACCCTCGCCATCATCACCCAACCACACTTCCATTTTCTCCTAATGAGCTAACTGGCTCAGTTAGCTGATCAGCAGCCGCCTTCAGCTCAGTTTCCAGTGTTTCCTGCTCAGCAGTCGCCTGTATCCCTGTCACCTACTCCACCACCGCTTTCATCTCAAATTCAGTCACCTGTAGCTCAGTCTTTACTCCCGCTACCCATAGCTCTACCACAATCAGACTTTCTCCAAACCTTGTTACAGTCCATAGCCCAGTCAGTAGCGCAGTTAGTATAGGAATCATTAGCTTTGTCATCTGCTCAGTCAGCCACTCATCTTCACCCTCAGTCAGGGGTCCCTATTGCCTCTGGCCCTGCATCTGCTCCAGCTGGAGGGCCCGAGTCGCCCGTCCAGCCTCAAGTGTCGTCAGCTGGAGGGTCCGAGGAGCCCACCCAGCACCACGCCTCATTAGCAAGCACATGTCTCTGTCGCCTCTGTCAGTGCGCCCCAGGGCAGCTGTGGCTACAATGTAGCTTGCCATTGCCAGTGTGTGAATGTGTGTGTGAATGGGTGAATGACTGAATGTAGTGTAAAGCGCTTTGGGGTCCTATGGACTAGAAAAGCGCTATACAAATGCAGGCCATTTACCATTTACCATTTACATCCTCACATCTGCTGACGGTAGTCTGTTCAGCCGTCACCTGCTGAATCATCCCCCGTGACTTCTACATCGCCGCCTGCAGCATCGCCGCCTGCAGCATCGCTGCCTGCAGCATCGCCGCCTGCAGCATTGCCGTCAGGTTCTGCAGCCGTCCCACTGCCGTCATCCACGCCTAGTCCAGCCTCCGTGACCCCGCCTTTGTCTTCGTCTGGTCCTGCCTCAGCTCCGCCCTCATCTGGTCCTGCTTCGTCTGGTCCTGCCTCGTCTGGTCCTGCGGTTGCCACACTGCCGCCCGCTTCAAATCAAATCAAATCAAATCACTTTTATTGTCACATCACATGTGCAGGCACACTGGCACAGCACATGCGAGTGAAATTCTTGTGTGCGAGCCCCACAAGCAACAGAGATGTGCAAACACAACAACACAAACGAGCAAAATACAAGAATGGCCAACCTGAAACTAATAAATATATGTACAATATATAATAGTGTATGCATTTCTGGATGTGTATACTAAATATTTTCCTACGTGTGTGTGTGTGTGTGTGTGTGTGTGTGTGTGTGTGTGTGTGTGTGTGTGTGTGTGTGTGTATACACATTTTTACAAATTAAATAGTAAAAAAAATAATAAATAAAATAAAATAATAATAATAATAAATAAATAAATATAAAAATTAATGCAAAAAAATTTATATACATATATAAAATATACAGCAGCTCGACCTGTTCCGCCTCGCATCTGCCGGCCGTTTTCCAGGCCTCTAAGTTGGCATCATGGCCTTCGGGGACGGCCTCCGGAAAGAGTTCGTCGCCGCCGCTGGCATCGCGGCCGACCTCCGGACCTGCTCAGTGGCCGCCACTGCCTTCCAAGTGGTCGGCCTCCTGATTGGTTTTGCCTGCGCGCCGTTGCCGTGTGCACGGTCGGCCTCCAGAACTGTTTGCCCGTCGCCGCCGTTGCCGTGTGCACGGTTGGCCCCCTGAACTTTTTGTGGACTCTTGTTCTTGTTTTGTTTTGAACTGTTTTCCTTATGTTTATGGACCGTTCTGGACTTGTGCTCCTTGTGCTTGTGTTTTGTTTTGAGTTTCTTATATTTTGGTCTATTTTTGCATTATGGATTATTTTCTGATGTTCTGGTGCTTTGTTTATTATTATTATTATTATCATTATAGATCTGTTTCAGTTATTCTTGGTGAGGTATCAGTTCTTAGGTTTTGGGTTCTCATGTGTATTGCAGTTTCTGTTCAGTGTCTAGTCTGTCTCTGTGTCGTGTCTGCATCTTTGTTTAGTGGTTTCTTGTTTCCTGTCTTATTGTGAAAGTCTTTGTCTTATGTTAGTGTGTGCAGCTTAGCTCCCCCGTCTCGTTAGCCCTGATCTCCCCCAGCTGTGTCTCCCTTCTGTTACCCATTCCCTGATTACCACCCTGTGTATATAAGCCCTGTGTTTCCGTGCTCAGTGTCGCGTCGTACCCTCAGATTATGCCTGTGTGTTTTTGGTTTCTGTATTCACGTCACTTCACGTTTGGTTTTCATGTCAGCAATAAAGCTGAGGTTCTGATTTACAATTCTGTGTTCGAGTCCTGCACTTGGATCCTCCTCTCCGCCTGCCCGCACACAGAGCCCTGACAGATTGATTGATTGAATCTTTATTTTGAACATGTTGAAAAAGTACAGCAAAGAATTAAAGAGACAAATAAACAAAGCCGGTCCGCTTCTTCTTCCTCTCCTCTCCTGTCTTTCTTATCTTTCTCCATCTCTGAGTGAAGTTAGCTCTCTTTCTTTTCTCTAAATGTGAAATAAGCAGCTGGACCTTTAGCTAGCATCACACTGTGAGACAAACTACAGACAAACAGTTTGTGTGTTTGCTGATGTTTATTGATCTGATAGAAATGTTGCATTTGAAATTACCTGACACTTAAAAAATGTCACTCCCTTTATGCTCGCTCCTCTTATGTAGCGCTAGCTAGATTCTGAAGTATCACGAACACAGCTTATGGACACCTGCACTCCCTCCAGCCCACTTTACCCCAAGTATAAACACTATAAGTAATACTGCTGAAGCTAAAGACAATTACAATACATTTGTCCTCAGGTATGCATAAAATTTAAAAATATATTTATGAAGAACCTTTGTAACACAAGTAACGACATAATTGTAACTGTTATGTAATGTACATTACTGTGTTACTTTGTAACATGTTACACCCAAAACTGGTCGCTACGATCTTTACACTTTACTGATGTTTTCAAAGTCAATATTTAAATATAAAGGGACCTCAGGTGTCGGATGGCAGTGATGGGTTTTTATGTCACATTTTAAGTTTGTGTAAAATTGAAAGGCAGCCACATGAGATTTGATCTCCTTGACACTGTCATCCATTTGAATTTTGGTTAATGCAGGCTTATCTATCAGACATGATAGACATGCATGTAGTTTTGTATCTTAGCTGGTGTTTATACTTTTACAGTTGACCTCTGACCGAGTTTACAACGGTTATTGAAAACCAAAACAAGGAGTGAAAATGAATTTCAAACTGCGTCGATGTGATTTTGCTTCATTAGTCTAAAGCTAGCTAGCTAAACCAAAAACCTGCTGATAGAGGGGCCATGTGCTGCTCCACTTTTAAAGTCAGCGGTAAGATCTTCAGTGGTAGATTGTTGTGATTGGCAATGTATGGAAACAGCTTCTCAGTGAAACTGAGCTTGAAGGTGTGTATGTGTGTGTTAGTGTCCAGATCAAAGAATGTGAGCTTCTTTTTGTCACAGTCCAGCTGAACTCTGACTCTCTGCAGCTTCATCACTGGGAGAGGCTTAAACGGAGGTGGAGGGGTGGCTGCTGTGTATTTTCCATCAAGGAGACATAATTCCCAGTATCCACTCTGTACTATTCCGTGTCTCCGAACAGACTCCTTTACCACACCAACACCCCAAAACCGATTCTGATCATTTCTAACCTCCACATCCCAGCTGTGAGTCCCTGAGTCGAAGCCCTCAGATGTCAGAACACAGTGGTGTGAATCAATCCTCTCTGGATTATGAGGAACCTTCTGTCCCTCTCCAAGACTCGCACTGGTCAGATCTTCAGACAGGATTAGGTGTGATTCAGCTGTGTTTGGATCCAGAATCACAGGAGTGTAGGAGACCATCTCCTTCATCTTGTTCCAGATGTTGTAGGTCAGGTTGCCCAGGTGTTTGGCCACATCCATCAGGGCTCCTGAGTCCAGCTGTGGAGCATTCAGCAGGGGGAGCTGCTTGACTCTGTTGACTGCAGCCCTGTAGTTGTGGAGGAATGAGACGTCTTCAGCTCTCAGTTGCTCCTCTGTGGCTCTGATTGTTTCTGAAAGAGTTTCTATCCTTCTACTCAGAGACTCAATCTTCTCCTCCATTTTTCTTAACTTCTGCTCTTCTTCCTGCCTCAGAGCAGCCAGCCTGGCCTTCTCTTCCTTTTGTAGAAACTGCTGAAGCTTTTTAAACTCCTCCTTTATCTGCTTCTCCGTCTGCTGTGCCTGGACCTTTATATGTTCTGCTGTTTGATCAAAGTTTCCTTTGACTTGTTCAAACACCTTCAGTTTATCTTGTAAGGGCTTCAGGTGTTTCTGAAGCTCCTCTCTGTGATCCTGGGCGGCTTCTTCAGTTGGGTTGAATCTGTGGTCTTTGTGCGCTTTTGAATCTCGACAGACGACACACACCGGCTGCTGATGATCCAAACAGAAAAGTTTGAGTTTCTCATTGTGCAGACTGCAGAGAGGCTCAGACCCTGCAGAAGCTTTTTTATCTCTCTGCAGTAAGAAAGCCTCACACAGGTTCTTTAACGCCAAGTTACGGGGCGGATCATTTGACAGGTTTATCTTCTTACAAAGTGGGCAGTTTTTTTTTTGTTTTTTTGTCCACCACGTCTGCAGACAGTTTTTACAGAAGCTGTGGCTGCATGACAGGATGACAGGATCTCTATAGATGTCGTGGCAGACGGGACAGGAGAGATCCTTTTCCGACTGAGAAGACATTTTTTTTTCCCCGGAGTAACAACAATGAAAACAATGAGGCGTCCACTCCACTCAAGAAGTTTCTTCAAACTTACTTTCACTTTTAGCTGTGACTTCTGTAAAACTTCTATTTGTAACATGGAATCAGCAGCATCGTGTTGAAGTCACAGTATCCTGATATTCCCTGTATTTCAGTGTTCCCCGTATCCTTCTTGCTGTCGTTGAACGTCCTCTCTTTTCTAACAAAGAATCTAAATACATAGTTCAGAAAGTGAAAGTGTCACGGTGAATGTAATTTGACACCCACATGAATATGGTGGCCCTGAGGGTCCACACCCAACTGCAACTCAAGAAAACAACAGGAAATAGAAAAACTCAAAAAAGCACACAAAACACAATAGAAATAGGAAAAAGGAAAACAAATTAGAAAAAAAGAAAACGGAAATAGAAAAAGGAAGTTAGAGATGGATGAATGAATATCACTTTACAGTCCCGCACAAACATCAGGATCAATTACACTAATGTTAATGTAAGTTCTGTTATTATGCTGCCTAAGCTGGTTCTGTTGGTGGTGCCCAGCCAAACCTGCATTTGTTTTAAGGAGAAACAAACAGACAGTTCACTCGTTAAGGAATTGTAGTTTATTCACAGGACATTTGACCAGTGTACTAACTTAATCACTTTCTGCTTAAATTTAGCTCTCATCTCATTTAGTACCCCTAATAACAAAAATACGTATAGCGTATACAACCTGAGCCTGTGTATAGTGCTTGCAGAGCACTGCTGACTTCGACTGACAAAATTGTCAGGCAGTGGAAGAAATACGTTGAGGACCTCTTTAATCCCTCTGGCATGTCTTCCATCGAGGAAGCACAGTCTGGGGATGAGGGGAATGACCCACCAATCTCCAGGGGCGAGGTCACTGAGGCAGTTAAAAAACTCCTTGATGGCAGAGCTCCTGGGGTGGATGAAGTCCACCCCGACTTCCTGAAGGCTCTGGATGTTGTAGGGCTGTCTTAGTTGACACGAGAAACATTTCATCAAGTGATTTCATCAGTGACTGAGTGATTGAGATATCCTCAATCAGTCAATGAAACATTTTAAAATATAAAAAGTTAAAAAAAAAACTATTGATAAGAAAAAAATAAAAGGTGTCATATCTAAAAGTTTAACATGTCATTATAGTTAAATAATGCTGAAACGGTGAAATGACGGATTAAAGGACTGGGTATTTCAAAATGATAGGAGAATGCAAATTTTGTAATTATGCGCCTGCAAGCCTCACAGTGCCTAAACTTAAATATAGAGAACACCATGAGGTGATATTTTAAGGCTGGATTGTGGAGACTTGCCTCTTTCAGGAGGTTTGCTTTGACGACTCCGTCATTCAGATCCACAGAGGAGTCTTCCTGCTTCAGGTTTATTTTTATTACTGAGACACAGAGAACAAACGCAATCATGATTAGTTTCCAGCTTTATTATTTTTCTCAAATCTCAAAACTGTAACTAGGTACCTTTTTTGTGAACATTTGATTTTCTGGGAGCTTTTGTGGTTGTAGGTAGAGGAGCTGGCAGGTTGTCATAGCAGACGAATGGTAGTTTTGTGTCACTGGGCAGTAGCCTCCATTTTCCTGATCTCTTCAAATCTGCAGCACCGTACAATGAACCAAAAATACCAAATATTTTTTTATAATCATCCCAGTATCTGAATGAGGAGTCTTTGCCATCACCCCAGTAAATGTTAGGATGTACAATATGGCCTATCCATGCAGAATCATCCTTTGGTGCCAGAGTCTGCATATCATTTTTAGAAAACCAAGGTGGCGTTTCATAAAATTAAAATAAATCAAGTGCAAACAATCTTTACGGGTAAAGAAAATGCTTTATTTTCCCACCATTGTTACAGATGAATTGATGTTCCTCCCAACAACTGTCATGCCACTGCCATCCATCCTTTGAAAATAGTAAACTAAGAAAGGTTCATTTTCAGTTTGTTTTTCCCAGTTCCAAAAATAATCAATTATCTCAGGTGCATGATACCCATATATATATTAAACTAAACACCAATCCAAACCTCAGAGTTGTAACCAGCAGATGAAGCAGTTTTGATAAGTTGGTTCATTTCTGTAGAGTTTCCAGTGCTGGCCAGGCCTGTGTAGTTCTTTCTGCAGTAACTCTGAGCCTCATACCAAGTAAAAGACTTATTAACAAAGTGGTACTGACGGCATTTGGAGAGGACGAGCCACCCTGTGAGGAAAATATTATAATGAACCTCTTTGGACATATGAGATGGCTGTTTTTAATAGTATTTCATAGCAATAAGCACTGCGACAAAAAAAAACAACCCACTAACCTGAGAGATACAAGACACCCAGCAGGATCTTCACAATCATCATGCTCCTCTGTGGACTGTAAGAGGAAACTGTCTTTCTAATAGAAAAGTAGGGAAATTCCATTTTGCTTTATGTTCCTGTTTCTGAAAAATCCCATTGGTCTGTTGATTTGTTTACGCAAATTGTTTTACTTTATCTAAATATGTTTGTACCTCACCATCAACCAGGTTTATCATGCATAAATATGTGATAAAAATTTATAAGGCAATTGTGAAATATAAAATAGGGTACAGAGCGGGCTCTATACCCTATTTTATATAGTGTACATCCCAAGTTACTTTCTCGAAAAAGTAACTTGGCATATCGCAAGTTACTTTTGCAAGTTACTTTTGCAAGTTACTTTTGCAAGTTACTTTTGATCGCAAAAGTTCATCTGCATTTTTTTTGTCCAATGTCTCTTGCTGGCCTCCATAATGAGCTATATAAGCATCAGAAATTAAAATTTCATTAAATTACTTTTTGTTTGTTTTTTTACACACATTTACACCAGGCACCAGGTAGCGCATCATTATACATTAGCTAGCCCAGAAGTTGGCAGTCTGTGGCCCGCTAACCGCATGCAGCTCTCTCACCGCTAAAGCTGGGACTCCCGCAAGCTTTAGGTAAAAGAAATAAAAATAAAAATAAGAAAATGTTAAATGTTACAGGCATAACCTTCCCTTTAAGATTTGTTAAAAAGTTCTTAAAAAGTAAAATTAAGGACTTCCACACACATGGGCACTTAGGGTGAGTTTATTCTAGAAAAGCATCTACTGTCAAAGAAACAAGAACCCAACAAGTGCAGTAACTCTTTTTCTCTGGACCTGTATCCAAATATCTGGTCAAATATGATTGGTCAATATACAACAGAAATCTTCACGTTTTTTTTTTCATATCCATATTCGGTTTTATTTTTATGTCAAAGTGTCAGAGAACATGAAATTTATCTCATTCTCGTATGGACAGTTTTCTGCTGAGGATCTGATTATTCATCTGTGATGTGCAGCCTGAATGAAGCATCTTTAATCAGCATGGCTTCACACTAAGTGAATCTGTATTGGGTGGGTGCACAAACAACAAACTCAAACCTGAAAGTTTGTTTTCTCTTCAGCTTAGGATTCATATCTCTCTCTCAGCCTTTGGGAATCAATGAGTTTCTCTTTACTAATGACAAATCCAAACAGGCAGAACTGCTCTCTGCACCACAAGAAAATGCAATTATGCAGAGTATTAAGTAATTTAAGATAGAGTGACTGCTGGAGATCTGCTAGAAGAATGAACTGTTCTTCATTCTCAACTCAAATGTCATCTGGGATTTTCTCCTTAAAAATTTGCTGCAGCTCCACAGTAAGCACAAAAAGGAGGGAACCATCGTGGTGAAACGGTCTCAGTGCTTCTTATTCTTAGCTGCTACAGACTGTCAGGTTTATAAGATTTCAAGGTTTAAGATGAAAGTTTACCAGTCTTCTGTTCCTGCTAAATTAACTCACATTTCATCGATGACAAGATTGTTAGTTAATCATTTACAAATCAACATTGTCTGTATGGACAGTAATTTAAAAAAGAAAAAAAAAGTGAACATGTAAAGCTACGGTGTTAAGCGATGTGGTTGAAAAATTAAGGTGCACCTAACTTTTGTGCTGGTGTACCCTAAGAAAAAAAGTTAGGCGCACCAGTGCAACCGTGGCAAAAAGTAAGTCTAGAGCCCCGATATGCATATTTGAAGCTGTATTTTGAAATTTTCAGTTGTTACATGTGTTGATATGTGGTTAAGTTGTGACCATACATGTAGCACAGAGTGTCTGAGGTTGAGAGGAAGTGAGCTGTTTTGAAATGTGTGCATGTAGCTCTACAAGTGTCCCTGCACCTCAGCGTATTTCTGCAGTGAGACATCTTTGTTCAAAACCAAAATTTCTCAGCTGCACATAGTCTAATGGAAATGTTTTTGGCTAATTTTTTTGTTTGTGTGGATTCTTTGCTTGAATTTCTCTCATTATTATACTCATGTTATTATAATTTCTCCCATATATAACGAATAATTGTAAAACCTTTCAAAGTAATCACACTGTCTTATAAGTTGAAATTCCCTCTGACGCCTCATGAAAATAATCAGTTGCAGGTTTTAACACGTCAGCTGATTCAATACTACAGTAATACGAAACACTTGCACTATTTTATATTTGATTCTCGTATCGGTGAAAACCATCCTTCCTTTTGGTCTGACAGATATTATCTTTAAAAATATTTTTTTCCTATTCCAGGCCGTTTCAGCACTGACATTAAACATCACATCAGGTAAACAACAAGCTCTTTGATTATATTTAATATTAACCTTTACACATGGACCTCTTGTCCTGATCACAAATAGGCAGCATTGACCTACTGGGGATAGTTTTCAGAATAACAGCTGCTTACCCAAGCATGATAAGAGCGTGCAGACTGCACGCTGAAAGGCTCTGCCCTGGTTAAAACTGCAATCCTGTGGAAAATAAATTATTTTAATTTCTGTTCCCATCTCAGAACAAGATAGATCCAGCTGTGTTCCGCCTTCAAAAGTGGCTGCACATCTGACAGGTGAGATCATTTTTAATGCTGTAAATTCAAAACGTTTTTATCCACTTTCATCACTGATTACACCAGCCAGAATAAGCTGAGCAGCCGACAGGAAATCAGAAAATAAGAAATCAATTCAGTGGAGAAAACTGATGAAGAAAACACTATTTTCAGGCTAATATGCAGCCCTATGTACTCATACAAATTCATAATCTTGCTTAGATTATATGCTTAAATATTATAGCAGGGTATATTTCTTCTGTCTCTAATATTAATTCCAAAGAATTTCTTCTAATAAACACAATTTTTTTTACCAAAGAGAGGGAAACTTTTGTAAGTTTTTGCAGTTTATTAAACATGAATTTTACTGGTTATTATGATGTAAATTAATTTAACACCAAAGCCTTAGACTGTATGGAAAAA